CAGCACCACGGGGCGGTCGGGGAGGTGCAGGTCGGCTCTGGCCACGCTCAGGTTCCTGGGGTGGCGCAGGGGCTCGGCAGAGCTGGGGTACCTGATCCTGCCACGGGCTTTGCCTCTCCCCTGCCAGGAACAAGGGCGGCCTGGGCAGCTCGGCTGTGTGCGCCTTCCCCATGCACAGCGTGCAGCGAGCCTTCGGTGGGCTCTACAAGGAGGTGAACCGCGAGACGCAGCAGTGGTACACAGACACCGGCCCTGTGCCGGAGCCCCGGCCGGGCACGGTATGTGCCTCCTTGGTGCCTGCCCAGGTGCAGGACGCGGGGCAGCCCTTCACGCTCTCCTGGTCCTGGCAGCCCCCATGGCACCGGCCACTTGCCTGCCCGCTGCCCCATGCCCTGGCCAAGCCCCCTCTTCTCTCCCCAGTGCATCACCAGCCACACGCGGCACCTGAAGATCAACTCGTCCCTCCAGATGCCAGACCGGGTGCTGAACTTCATCAAGGACCACTTCTTGATGGACAGCCCTGTGCCCAGCCTGCCGCTGCTGCTGCAGAGCCGCCTACGCTACCAGCAGATTGGTGTCCACCGTGCACAGGGCCTCCACGGCACTTACGACGTCCTCTTCCTGGGCACAGGTGGGTGCAGCTGCAGGCTGCCGAGAGGGCGGGTGCCAGCACGCCGCGTGCCCCAGCCCCTCTCAGCAGGACCCTTGTGTTTGCAGACGATGGCAGGTTGCACAAAGCTGTGCGCGTGAACCACAGGGTGCACATCATCGAGGAGATCCGCCTCTTCCCCACTGGCCAGCCCGTTCTCCAGCTGCTGCTGGACCAGGACCAGGCAGGAGCCGGGCACGGGCGTGCTGGGGCTGGAGCGAGGGGGGGGATGCTGTGGGCTCAGCCTGCATGGGGCAGGTCCTGCTCGTGGGCTGGGGCCAGGGAGCCTGGGAGGGTGGGGGTGTGCAGAAGCCGACCCCACTGCACGGCTCCGGAGCTGTGGTCGTGCTGCTGACCCCGCTGTGTCCCTTCCCGCAGGGCCTGGTCTACGCAGCCACCTACACAGCGGTGGCTCAGGTGCCCTTCGCCAACT